AGCAAAGAGATAAAACCATGGTTACAACTCGGTCGAAGGCTGTTAAAAAAACTGAGCGTGCCCAAACAGAGGCCGAAACATGCAGGCACCCAGGCAACGGGCTGCAATGAGTGCTGGAGCCTGGCACTTGCACTGGAAGGCTGTGGAGTCGACACCTGTGTGAGGTGTGAGCAGAGCAATGATCTGCTTAGTCTAGTGGCTGAACTGAAGGAAGAGGTGGCTGAACTGAAGAAAGAGGTGGAAAGACTAAAGTGGAAAGACTAAGATCTATAAGGGAAAGTGAAAGAGAGTTGTTGTGCGAGGCTCTGCAGATCCCCTCAGGAGAGGGAGGTGACCCAATGAGCAGAGGGGAATGGACACAGGTGCCTGGTAGGAGAGGCAAGGAAAACCTCTCACAGCCCCCCTCACCCTTCCAGTTGCCCTTGCACAACAAGTATGGTGCACTGGATGTTGAGGGAGAGGGAAATGAGAAAGTAGAGGAAACATCATCTGGGGCGTTGCCTAAAGCAAACCAGTCCCCCCCTCACATCAGTACTTGTACCCTAAAAAAAAAGAGGAGGGTAGTTGTTATTGGGGATTCCCTTCTGAAGGGAACAGAGGGCCCATATGCCAGATCCTTCCCACAGGGAAGTGTGCTGCCTCCCAGGGGCCCGGGTCAGAGATGTCACTAGAAGGCTGCCTAGTCTGGTAAAGCCCTCTGATTACTATCCATTACTAGTTATGCAGGTGGGAAATGATGAGGTTGAAACCAGAAGTTTAAAAGCAATCAAAAGGGACTTCAAGGCACTGGGAAAATTAGTTGAGGGATCAGGGGCACAGACAATTTTTTCATCGATACCCTTGGTTGCAGGTTGTAATACTGAAAGGAATAGGAAGTCATGCATGATTAACAAGTGGCTTAGGGAATGGTGCCACCAACAAAATTTTGGGTTTTTCGACCTTGGCGAACTTCATACGGCACAAGGTCTGCTAGTAACAGATGGGGAACATCTGTCTCAGAAGGGCAGGAAGATCCTGGCACATCGGTTGGCACGGCTTGTCAAAAGGGCTTTAAACTAGGCTTGAAGGGGGAGGGGGTTAAATACAGGAGCACTAGAGACGAGCCTAAGGACACCCTCCAGCCTGCCATTGCACTTGAAGCAAGAAATAATGATAGTATCAGAATGGTCTGTGGCAAGTGGCAGGAAGACACACTAGGGTTCAAAGGATGGGGTGACAGCAAGGGCCTCCAACCTGTTGCACTAA